CTACTTTAGATCGACCTAACTCCCTGGGGGTTCACGCTAAATAGCTGTCAGCCGGGCGGACACGAAAGTTAATTACCCCCTTACAGCTTGTAGTAGGCGGGACGGACATTTAAGCCGGATTATCTGACAGTAATCTAGTGAGACTCCCCGCGGGGATAGATCGATCCAAAAGCTCTGGGAATACAGCCAGAGTCTACTGATATAGCCGTCACCTTCGCCATCAGCGTTCACTTTTCATTATTAATGCTTTTAATTGGTAATCTCTATGGTGATTTTTCTCAAACATACAAAAATACAACAGCCTGATTGGAATTTTAAGTGCATACACAGTAGCCGTCTCACAGCGAGGGCACAGTGTGATCAGTCAGCCAGCACCTGTGTCCTGGTGGTTGGCGCGCACTATATATAGCTGTTCATTGTAAACACTATAATGGGTGGATATCGGTGTTATGTATTGTCCTCGAGCATTTTGGTGTGAGGACAAATCTAGGTCGACAGGTGAAATCCTGACTGGTTTGATTCCTTTGCTTTTTGTGAGGCTTTTTTTCACACATTGGCATTATCAAGACATTGCTATAAACTCTTATGGTTCTGGCGCTAGCAAGTTTAACTATTTTTATTGCGCTTGAACACATGTACGTTACGGAGAAAAATACAATAAGGGATAAAATACAGAAGATTTTCAGTAAATTTTATTAAAGCCTTGCCCTTAAAACAGAAGATAAAAATGTAAATACAATGTAAGTACTTAGTGGGAGCTAAATTCAGCGTCTCTACTAGATCTTACTGGTTAAAAAATACAGACAGAAGACACCATATTAATATTAGTAAAAATAATTAAACATATGTCTCGCTTAACTTGATAATAATAATAATGCATTAAAATACATTGAGACACTATAATCTCAGCACTCTTCAAAATTTAAAACTGTAATAAATGTTGAAAATACTAAAAAAATTGATAAAAGCTATAAGAGAAATGTATTCAACGGAGTATTTTTTTTAAATAAAAAGATTTTTAAATTTGTCTCAAAACTGTAATAACTGTCGATAAGAAAAACATTGGAGTTATTGATAAAATTAGACAATAAAATTGGTGCTGCAGTTTCAAAACTTCTGTGACCATTTGTTTTAAGTGTTTTTTTTTTTGGTATTTCGCATTTTAACTTAAAACTTCTGTACTTCAGATATTTTCTTTCACCTTTTCTTTTTTTCTTAAACTACGTAGCAGGTCTTGGAAGTAATAAATGCCATATTAGCATTGTTAGTTCAGCAATTAGGTTCAAATTTTTTTACCTTTAAGCATGAAATGTGGCACAGTTGTGGGTAATGCAATTTTGAATATAGGGACATTTGTGAAAATTCCAAAATGGGTGGGGAAGGGAGTGTAAACAATACAGGAAAGTAAAGGGATGTAGCCAAAGTTTACACTATTTTTGTCAAAAATTTGTATTAAAAAAGTGAATTGTGGAAAAAAAACTGCTCCTGTTTGCATTTAGTGCATATGTAAAGGCCCTAACTGTCATGAAAATGATTGTTAATTATACTGCATCAGATTGCTGTGCTATTTCTATTCCGATTAGGAAATTATGTTCCAGGGTGTTAGCTTTCATTGCATGATCTGACACTAGTCGAGAACCCTGTTTGTATATTGTCATAAATAGAAAGGGGGAGGCTTTAAGTTGAGAAGAATACAAATAAAACTGGGAATTATATACGTTGGAAAATGAGGCGTGTTAGTCTGTCAGCAAGCGACAGTCTCCGTTGATTAAGTTAGCAGTTACCACGAAAGATATATTGTGCACACATCCATACACTGTATTTTTACAGCCTACAGAAGATGTCCTCAGCCGACCTCAATACAATGCCCATTGTACCGGTGTCGCTCTGTATACAATATTTAAATCCATACACTGTATTTTTACAGCCTACAGAAGATGTCCTCAGCCGACCTCAATACAATGCCCATTGTACCGGTGTCGCTCTGTATACAATATTTAAATTTTTGCCTATGGAATCGATATCAAAGCCTTGATGTCTAGCAAAAAGGCTATCAAGAGAGTAAATGTAATAACAAAGCAGCGGAATACACATTATCAAGAGAGTAAATTAAAAAACAAAACAGCAGAATAAATCAGCAAAGAGTAGGTATTGAAAAGAATGGAAGTGACAGAAACACGGCCAGACGACCTGGCCAAGAAAGGGATGAGATGAAATGGACATCCTCTGGATTATTGGGGGGTGGGGGTGGGGATCCGCTTAGCCAGTTGCTTCTAGAGGGGAAAGTAGTAAAAAAGCCAGATAGAGACAGTGCCGGTTATTCTAGTGCGTACCTATTTTCCATATGAAAAGTTTTCATGAAATGTATTAACACGCAGTATTATGACAGTGTTTTGTAAAGAATTAACGTGAAATAATGAGTATAATTAATTTAACCACATGAGGATATTAAGTTGTTTGATTTACAGCCCAGTTTAAGATTTCGTACGGGACAGAATACCCCTCCACTGGGCCAAAAGCCTTTCTTTCACTTCCACGTTATGTTCCTTCATTTTCCTGCTGATATCCGCCAGGTTTGCGGTCTCTAACTTGTTCACCAAGTCCTCGATTGAATTGTAATACGTAATATGTGGCCACTGATAGAAATCAGAAAATTTTAACCAGTACTTGATGGCATCCGCGTCGACCTCGTTGTTGGGGTCTGGAACAGAAGCATTAAGGACACCTTGGATGCGGGAACGCTGCGGGATTTTGCCGGAGACCATATCCCATGTGCGTTCGTTGAGGACGTGGTCCTTTTTCTGCCATTCTGTGAGAAGATCTAAAGACGGGAAGAAAAGTGGGATGCCCATCCTGTATTGTTCAAACAGAGACATTACGGATACTTGGTACGGTATGTACACAATGCCGGGATGGTGGGTGAGATCACTATATGTATAGCGACTGTATAGACTTCTTAACTTTTCAAGTTGAACTTTAGACGTCTTCTTGGAAACAGCTTTCTTAAACCTCTCTAAAAAAGACGACTCAAAGTGGCCAACATGACTTGGCGCCAGGAGGAATTCACGCCTCGTCACATTTGAGTAAGAGTACGTCTCTCCAACATCACAGTAACTCTCGAGAACAGTGGTTTTAATTCCTGTAAAGTAACGTATATATTCCGCGTCATACAGATTATTACCAGCGACTACATTACGAGGGTCTTTAGAAATCTTGATAAGATTCTCATTCCATTTTTTCCAGCGCTCTGGCTCAAATCTTCCCAACTCGTACCTCGTGGACGCTATAACCAATATAGTCTTATTAAACGGCATGAAAGCTTCACACATCGCTGCTGGATGGTTACATACGAAACCGTCCACGGACTGCATTTTGGGGTCGTCTTTGTAGCTTTTATAGAACTCTTTTTGAAGCTCCTCGCTCATTGACATCCCATTTTGTCGGTTGAGCACTCTTAATCCCTTCGCACACGTTTTGGTACACGCGCCCGAGAGACTCTTGTCGATTACTTTAACACCAAGAGGCTTCAGCAGATTTGTCAAATCTTTAATAGGCGAGATGTGAAAGTCATTGCTCCAAATTACCACTTTTGGAAGAGTCTTCGGCGTGCGTCCGTCTGGTGGGGCCGGCGGGCGATGAAGTAAGTGTCTTTCTGTCAGTAGCAGGCCGACGACGACTAGGGCAACGGTTACTGCCAAGATACGTGAATAGCTCTTCTTATTCCAGTTTGAGCACCAACAGACAGAGTCGACAGACCCATATTTCACCGGTTTAACCAACACCATATTGCAGTCTGTGAATATAAACACCAATGGCAAGATTTAGGACCCGAACACATCATATTTTTATATCAACATAAACCCTACCTTTTCACCTCTCGAAACATGTGTAAAACACGGGCGAAATACTGTAAATAATGTAGAATTTTTTATAATACTTGAAGCGCACTCGTGTGACACGCCTCAGAAATGCGAGTGCTAGATGTGTATTTCACCTCGTTCTAAAAAAATTGACAAACCTGAATTTACAATATATATGTACTGCCAGAAACCCGGTTTTCTTGGCTCTGGTGCCCCTGTTGGTTTTTTTATCATTGTGCACTTTAAACTTCTTACAGAAATCTTTAAATAGAAAATTTCGGGCACCAAATACGGGGCGCCATTTGCAATCACCCGTGTCGATAAATCTTCCATTTTACCATTCTAAATCCATTTTTTATGACAACTAACCTTGAAATTCTGAATCCCTGGATATTCCCGCTTCTTTTTCTATCCTATCGTTTAATCACATCAACTGATGACAAAAATACACATGAAAAATACGAAAAGCTAAAACGTCGTCCATTTTCACTCGATATTGCGGAAAGTAGTGCAAAAATGGCCTTCTCTTCAGTCAGTGTGCACGCGCAGCTAGGATTATGCGCACACTCTGTTGGTTGACTTATATGCACAATTCTAATATACTTGGATGCTCGTAAGTTAATGAACACCTTACTATTATTTCACAGCCTATGGCAGTCGTTATTTGAATAGGTCAGTATGACGGTACAGCTTTCTTTCACATTTCATATAATTATACTATTATTAAGGGTTCATTCCCAATGAAGCTTTACCGTTTTACGTACGATCCAACTCTAACTCTCGATGAATGCAATCAGATAAACAGTTTAGGCCGCCTTCACCTAGTTTCCAAGGTACTTGTGAAATCACCAACTTTTTTATTCTCTACTCAAGAGGACTGTTGATCTGTTAATCTTATTGCATTCAGTTAAAGCCCCAGCGGAGTTAGGCTGATCTACGTAGGGAATGAGCCCTGAGGTTGGACATTTCTATGATTTTATTTTAAAAAAATGGCATGAAAATGGACAAATTTATCTACTCACACAGCAAAACGCATTCCCTGGTTTAAAAAGCTCATTATGAAAATTAACGTTTTCTTGTCAATTTTGGAGAAGACTTTAAAAGTCGTGCCCATGAAGTAATCCAAAAATATGGTTAATTTTAAGAGGTCCCATCTGAGTACAGTACATAGTCGGACGGTGGATAGTAATCGTGTGTCACTGGCCGCAGCTGGTTTAAGGATTACAGAAGGCCAACTGCCCAAACTGCACTCCGATCAAAGTCGTGCTTATTGAGAAAATTGGAACATAAAAAAAGTGGTGCTTAACTTATGGACCCCAGTGTATACATATTGATGAAAGGCATTATAACAATAGGCATAACTCAATGCAAAAAATGCTAGTCATTTTATTTTCCAACTGGGTGACCAAACATAATGCACTCCATACAACCCTGCGTCACTGTTATGAAAAGTGATGCTGTACTTACCTTATTCATAGATTTGAAAACCGGTTAAATAAAGTACAAATACCTGTTGTTAATTCTTTATTCTCAGCAAACATCACCTCAAGTCTCTCCGTCACATACGACCCCTGGTGTCGTGAGGGAACTTTAAAGGTACGAAAACCAATACACAATAACTACGTACACGTACATACAGTACATTTCAGTAGCATTGTGAAATAGACATAATCTAAAACATGACCGTCTCAGTGAAAAGGGCACAGTATGGGTTTTTAGGCGCATTTGTTTTCAATTCTCCCTTTCCATTGAACAAGAAAATCGGAGAAATAACAAAAAAAAGTACAGGCATAGTGACGACCTTTGAATTATCACGAACGTTATTTGCATTGAACTCATCATCAGTGGTGCATGGAGACGTCGTTCTGAGGTCTAGCATGTGAAAGCACGGCCCCTCTTCTGTTGACAAATTGAATTTATTATTAATTACCTCCTTCAACGATTTGTAATATACACTGTGTTAAAAGAAGGGCTAGTGAAAATAAAATTAAATATGTTCGCCCTCTATAAGTTTTACATACACATGTCTTTTCTATATGAAAATGGTATATTGTCTCCCCTTTTCAATCATCATTTGTGATCGGAAAATTCTTAATTTACATAGTATTTGTCTATTTTATGACGAAGAACATTTCATGGATCATTCTGGCAATCAAAATCGCCAGCGATAGCACTTCAGTTAGAAGTGATCAGATGAACAGGAACTTACGAAGATTTTTTTTTTTTTGACTCGGTAAGCCGTACTGAAGATGGACGCTGATAATTATGTTCTATGCATGCGCTATGTCATGCAATAGCGGTCAAGTGCATTTCCTCTTCAATCCCCCCTCTCTCTCTCTCTCTCTCTCTCTCTCTCAACCAAACATCAACCTCATTGTTTCACTTACTGGTAGAAATAGTAGGCCCAAAATTCGTACAAGCAGGTTATTTATTTATTTACCTGTTTACTGCCTATGTTACTTATCTAGACACAGGAATTAAATCTGATCCTATACGTACAGGGTTACCACTTAATATGGAATATTATTTTTTGGCGAGTAAATTTTCTACAAAATATTTAATTTCTCTCTAACTACTTTAAATCCAAAGCTGTGGTGTCACTCCATGTGTAGCCAGGTGTGTTACCTAATTACCACACAACTCTCGAAACAATTGATGCATGCAGTTGCATGTTCTGTCGTCAGAAATGTGAGGGGTGGTCTTTTCGGCAATTTCTGCCCTTGTATAAAAACGCATGGGTTTGGTTAATCTTTGGAGTGTGTTTAGAGAAGCAACAAAGGGATCGCTCTGAAACTTGACAGGTACCTTAGTGAAGATATGGTTCGACAGCTAAGCAACGCAGCTTACTAAGGGATTCTTGCTCTCAGAGAAAATGGTCAGAAACGGACAGCCATTGCCAGGTAATTCAACATTTATCAGGAACCGTTTGTGAAGTCCTCCAAAGAAATGCTGCAACAGGGGCACCTACTCCAATACCTCTACCAGGGTGTCCGCGTATCACACCAAGAAGACAGGATGGCCTTCTCCTTAGAGGACGCCGTGCTGGTCGTACAAAGACAACCAATGTTCTCAGAAAAGAGAGGCAGAATGTCATTCAAACTCCCGTTTCAAGGTCCCACGTGAACAAGATATTTCTGCAAGCCTTTTATTTTGCACGAAGGCCAGTAGGGAAACTACTGTTAACAGCAGGTCATATACAGCGACGTCTGCAATGGGCTGGGGACCACGTGCGTTTGCAGCCAAAACACTGGAATCACGTCGTTTTCAGTGATGAGGCCAGAAATGGATTTTTTAGGGTTGATCGTCGAATCCGTGTCGACTGACGTGTACGAGGGGCATAAAACAATGATTGTGTACTGNCTTGGAAACAGCTTTCTTAAACCTCTCTAAAAAAGACGACTCAAAGTGGCCAACATGACTTGGCGCCAGGAGGAATTCACGCCTCGTCACATTTGAGTAAGAGTACGTCTCTCCAACATCACAGTAACTCTCGAGAACAGTGGTTTTAATTCCTGTAAAGTAACGTATATATTCCGCGTCATACAGATTATTACCAGCGACTACATTACGAGGGTCTTTAGAAATCTTGATAAGATTCTCATTCCATTTTTTCCAGCGCTCTGGCTCAAATCTTCCCAACTCGTACCTCGTGGACGCTATAACCAATATAGTCTTATTAAACGGCATGAAAGCTTCACACATCGCTGCTGGATGGTTACATACGAAAGCGTCCACGGACTGCATTTCGGGGTCGTCTTTGTAGCTTTTATAGAACTCTTTTTGAAGCTCCTCGCTCATTGACATCCCATTTTGTCGGTTGAGCACTCTTAATCCCTTCGCACACGTTTTGGTACACGCGCCCGAGAGACTCTTGTCGATTACTTTAACACCAAGAGGCTTCAGCAGATTTGTCAAATCTTTAATAGGCGAGATGTGAAAGTCATTGCTCCAAATTACCACTTTTGGAAGAGTCTTCGGCGTGCGTCCGTCTGGTGGGGCCGGCGGGCGATGAAGTAAGTGCCTTTCTGTCAGTAGCAGGCCGACGACGACTAGGGCAACGGTTACTGCCAAGATACGTGAATAGCTCTTCTTCTTCCAGTTTGCGCACCAACAGACAGAGTCGACAGACCCATATTTCACCGGTTTAACCAACACCATATTGCAGTCTGTGAATATAAACACCAATGGCAAGATTTAGGACCCGAACACATCATATTTTTATATCAACATAAACCCTACCTTTTCACCTCTCGAAACATGTGTAAAACACGGGCGAAATACTGTAAATAATGTAGAAATCTTTATAATACTTGAAGCGCACTCGTGTGACACGCCTCAGAAATGCGAGTGCTAGATGTGTATTTCACCTCGTTCTAAAAAAATTGACAAACCTGAATTTACAATATATATGTACTGCCAGAAACCCGGTTTTCTTGGCTCTGGTGCCCCTGTTGGTTTTTTTATCATTGTGCACTTTAAACTTCTTACAGAAATCTTTAAATAGAAAATTTCGGGCACCAAATACGGGGCGCCATTTGCAATCACCCGTGTCGATAAATCTTCCATTTTAACACTCTAAATCCATTTTTTATGACAACTAACCTTGAAATTCCGAATCCCTGGATATTCCCGCTTCTTTTTCTATCTTATCGTTTAATCACATCAACTGTTGACAAAAATACACATGAAAAATACGAAAAGCTAAAACGTCGTCCATTTTCACTCGATATTGCGGAAAGTAGTGCAAAAATGGCCTTCTCTTCAGTCAGTGTGCACGCGCAGCTAGGATTATGCGCACACTCTGTTGGTTGGCTTATATGCACAATTCTAATATACTTGGATGCTCGTAAGTTAATGAACACCTTACTATTATTTCACAGCCTATGGCAGTCGTTATTTGAATAGGTCAGTGCGACGGTGCAGCTTTCTTTCACATTTCATATAATTATACTATTATTAAGGGTTCATTCCCAATGAAGCTTTATCGTTTTACGTACGATCCAACTCTGCTGGGGCTCTCGATGAATGCAATCAGGTAGACAGTTTAGGCCGCCTTCACCTAGTTTCCAAGATACTTGTGAAATCACCAACTTTTCTATTCTCTACTCAAGAGGACTGTTGATCTGTTAATCTTATTGTATTCAGTTAAAGCCCCAGCGGAGTTAGGCTGATCTACGTAGGGAATGAGCCCTGAGGTTGGACATTTCTATGATTTTACTAAAAAAAATGCCATGAAAATGGACACAATTATCTACTCACACAGCAAAATGCATTCCCTGGTTTAAAAATCTCATTATGAAAATTAACGTTTTCTTGTCAATTTTGGAGAAGACTTTAAAAGTCGTGCCCATGAAGTAATCCAAAAATGTGGTGAATTTTAAGAGGTCCCATCTGAGTACAGTACATAGTCGGACGGTGGATAGTAATCGTGTGTCACTGGCCGCAGCTGGTTTAAGGATTACAGTAGGCCAACTGCCCAAAATGCACTCCGATCAAAGTCGTGCTTATTGAGAAAATTGGAACATAAAAAAAGTGGTGCTTAACTTATGGACCCCAGTGTATACATATTGATGAAAGGCATTATAACAATAGGCATAACTCAATGCAAAAAATGCTAGTCATTTTATTTTCCAACTGGGTGACCAAACATAATGCACTCCATACAACCCTGCGTCACTGTTATGAAAAGTGATGCTGTACTTACCTTATTCATAGATTTGAAAACTGGTTAAATAAAGTACAAATACCTGTTGTTAATTCTTTATTCTCAGCAAACATCACCTCAAGTCTCTCCGTCACATACGACCCCTGGTGTCGTGAGGGAACTTTAAAGGTACGAAAACCAATACACAATAACTACGTACACGTACATACAGTACATTTCAGTAGCATTGTGAAATAGACATAATCTAAAACATGACCGTCTCAGTGAAAAGGGCACAGTATGGGTTTTTAGGCGTATTTGTTTTCAATTCTCCCCTTCCATTGTACAAGAAAATCGGAGAAATAATAAAAAAAGTACAGGCATAGTGACGACCTTTGAATTATCACGAACGTTATCTGCATTGAACTCATCATCAGTGGTGCATGGAGACGTCGTTCTGAGGTCTAGCATGTGAAAGCACGGCCTCTCTTCTGTTGACAAATTGAATTTATCATCAATTACCTGCTTCAACGATTTGTAATATACACTGTGTTAAAAGAAGGGCTAGTGAAAATAAAATTAAATATGTTCGCCCTCTATAAGTTTTACATACACATGTCTTTTCTCTATGAAAATGGTATATTGTCTCCCCTTTTCAATCATCATTTGTGATCGGAAAATTCTTAATTTACATAGCATTTGTCTATGTTATGACGAAGAACATTTCATAGATCATTCTGGCCATCAAAATCGCCAGCGATAGCACTTCAGTTAGAAGTGATCAGATGAACAGGAACTTACGAAGATTTTTTTTTTTTTTTTTTTTGACTCGGTAAGCCGTACTGAAGATGGACGCTGATAATTATGTTCTATGCATTATGTCATGCAATAGCTGTCAAGTAAATTTCCTCTTCAATCCCCTCTCTCTCTCTCTCTCTCTCCCTCTCTCTCAACCAAACATCAGTCTCATTGTTTCACTTACTGGTAGAAACTGTAGGCCCAAAAGGTTATTTATTTATTTACCTGTTTACTGCCTATATTACTTATCTAGATACAGGAATTAAATCTGATTCTATACGTATACTCAAACAAACTGCAAACAAAAATGCCCTCATTCTATCTTTGCACCGTATGTGTAACGCCATCACTGCGCAAACGTTACAGAACTGTATGATTCCACGCACAGACGCGCCAAGTGCGTCCTCAAATCCAGAGGATACTGAAAGAAATACTAAAATGTGACTCTGATCTTTTACTATGGTTAGTTTATTCATTGATTGTACAATCAGTAACTTTTTGTAAATAAAAATCCCTTTAGAAGTTGAATAAAGAACATGGGTTTATGACATGAATTTTTGTTCACTTCACGCATTGCGTTAGGGGTGACGCTTTTTTAATAGGAGACTATAGGCCTATATGATAAACACATTTCATAGAGAAGTAAGGTCACTTTGGGGGTAACAAAGCCAAATGAATATTTTCTAATAGAGCATTAAGAGCTTTCCAAAACATTTTACTTTTTGAAATCAAGCAAGCCAACCAAAAGTCATGAACCTACAAGAATGCGAGTCGGCCACAAATTTTTTGAAAAAGGTCTTATATGAGAACATATGTAACAGTTAAAGCAAAAAGTGTCACCAAATTACCTCATCAATTAAACAAAATTGGCATAATTTTGAGTGGAATAAAATATTTATTAAAATGTTTCTGGCCAGTTACAATATGCTGGGGGAAATATGCCAAGACAAAGTTTCTGAAATTCATCCATTATATTTAGGGCAATTGTCTCTAAGGCTGTATTCCCAGAGCTTTTAGATCGATCTATCTCCGCGGGGAGTCTCACTAGATTACTGTCAGATAATCCGGCTTAAATGTCCGTCCCGCCTACTACAAGCTGTAAGGGGGTAATTAACTTTCGTGTCCGCTCGGCTGACAGCTATTTAGCGTTAACCCCCAGGGAGTTAGGTCGATCTAAAGTAGATCGATCTAATCTATGGAAATGGGGTCTTAATGTCAATAACGATCAATATTTATTTTAGATTTTCAACTGTGAAAAGTCCAAAGACTACTTTTGGATGGAAATGATCTCTACATAACAAAAAAAAATTAATAATGGCTTCTAATTACTAATATATCTGTTACTTTTGTAACAGTTTGAATTATTTCTAACACATTATCCCAAATTTTTTCAACTGAATATGAAATGGAACACACTCTTTTGGTTCTCAATAAAATTTGATATAATTTTTACACATATTTTCACATTTACCATTGGACCACAATCTTGGAAGTTATGAAAGCAAACAAACAGTCATGTCAGATTTTTTTCCCGTTTGGACCCACCCAAACCCAATATAGAGGTGCATTTCACATGCTGAAGTGTCCAAAAATAAAATTGAATGAATTCAAAGTTGTATTCAATTAAAAAAAAACATATGTGTATAGAACACAAATCCACGACTGTCTCAATTTAAATTTTATTTTAACCATGTCTTTACATTATGTAAAGAGCCCTAAATTGTACCGTACGTTCCGGTAACGTATGTTCATTTAATTTTAATTTTTTTTTAATTTTAATTTTTATGCCTCGTTAAGAGCGTGCCTGTGACCTCATTTGCACCCATATATTCGGTTTGGGTGAACCGTAAGAGCGGCATGACCTGACCGGATCTGAATAAGCCTCGAGGCATATGGGGCCATATGTTTTTATCATTTCATCGTGGACGTTTTATCATAAAAGCATTTTACGACCATTTTCAACACATCACACGAGGAACTGAAAAAGGGGAAGCAAGTTCACGCTGAAGGTTATATGTGCATCAACCCTACACGTGGGGTTAAATGCACATAGCAAAACCCAAAAGACTGTCAGGCAATTTAGCTGATGATACTGATTGCACTTTTGTTTTAATGTCAGAGGTAACCTCTCCATATCTAGCTGGCTAGAGGATTATTTCCCTCAGAAAATAATCTCTCCACAGTTTACAGGCTACAGAATCAGCAGTCGTTTACATTTTTGTTTTAGAGAAGTTTTCGGTGGCGGGGAGGATATCGGCGTAACGAAACTGAGGTGTAACCCTAAAGTCTGCCCCCAGTTATAATTATTAGGGTTAGCCTGGCCAAAGTGGGTCAAAATCTAGGTTGAGGTTTACCTGTACACTCCTGTTATGTGACGCCCCATTCATTTCTAAACGAAAAGACAATTGAATCATGTTTGAGTTTCTGTTTAAAATATTTTCCACCAAAGTCCCCGAACATCTCTTTGCTTAAGCTACGCGTTACCATATATTTCTAAAGGTCAGAACGAGTAACTGGTCAAATGTTACAACAAACGATAATTAACGATAAACCCAACAAATTTCAGTATTGCTCATTTTTTGATCATGAGATAACTTAAATAACACTGTCAGGAGGATTCCGCCTAAATCCTAGAAATATTCCTTGGCAGGCCCGTAGCCAGCAATTTCAAAGGTGGGGTTCTTTTTCTGAAAAAGTGGACCTTTTACCATATAATCCCCATGTACCTAGGCCAAACTTTACCCAGAGTGGACCTTTCTCCAGCAAAAAGGGGGGTTCTTTCGAACCCCCCGAACCCCCCCTGGCTACGGGCCTGCTTGGTTATAACTCTCGTTAATATATCATACCCGTGAGTAGTATAGGACCCTTTAATACATGTACCTTGTCAAATGACTGTTATAAGTCCTCTGAGGGCAAAAAGCACATACATTGTTTGAAAAAGATTTTTAAATATCATAAGAATGACATTGTATGTTCATATATGATTAGCAGCTAAATGAAATGTCACCTCAAACAAAATTTGTCATTTAGTATATTTTAAATTTGAGAAAGCAAACTGCAAAGATTTGGGCAGGCAAAGCGTATACTTCACACATGCTCCCTAGAAAGCTGCTCTCACAGGAGCAGGAGGTTACGCCAATATAGTAGGATTGGGGCACCTGGTAAAATACAGCTATCTTCTCAGAATATATTTTCTTTATGTATAATCAAAATTGAATAAATGATAAAAGGTTAACCTGTGTGTTCTTCCCAAAGGGGAAGTTGTACATTTTGACAGAAAAAAAGGGATTTTTAATTATCTTTTTCGCATGCAAAAATTCCACAA